AACGAGGAAACTGCTGGGTAACTACTGGCTTCTTGATTTTCACGTTTTTCAGCTCATTCATGAGGAGGTTCATGTGTTTTCACCAACCACAAAGACACAATTTTCATATCAGTGTCTTTGCAGATAACAAACGTGGATCAATCAAAAAGCAACAAACTTTAAATGAGATACAGAAATGTCCAGAGAAATGTAGCTCTGAAGAGAAAAGAGGATTTGTAATTAAAATATTAAGTAAAGGGTTCAATATATTCACAACAGAAAAAAAACTTTATTTACAGTTAAACACACACACAGTTAAATCTCTCAGAATTGAAGTAAACTGAGCAATAAAACCATCATAACAACAAACAGAGCTCACCTGGCTGCGCAGATGGCTCAAAGGACAAATGCAGCTCAGAGGAGAGAGTCGGATCTATGGTCTGAAGATGTCTGATCATTATCCTGGAGGCAGTTCCTCCTTTTTTCTTTACTGTGTCAATCAAGTCACGAGCCTTATCTGCTGTGACCGAGTTCCCCTCCACTATTGATGCTTTCTCCAGATCATTCAGGACACGGTCCGTTACCAGAGCCTCCAGGAGCTGTGTGACGATTTCTTTTGAAACCCTCCAAACAAAGCTGCACCGTACCCTGCTGAGCTCATCCTCTACAGGAAAAAGAGACATAATAAGCATGCATCCTACCTCACTCTTTGAAGGAAATGACAGCTACGATTGGTCAGTTTGAGCTTTGTGTGTTTCTGTGTTAATGTCCTAAAATACTGAGCTCCTACCTGCGGATGGAGCTGATAAAGCTGGCTGGTCTGGTTCAGACTCCATCTTTGATCTATGACAGAATGCGGTACAGTGAATCAGGATCAGCTGGTCTCATATCACTTATTGCAACACATCATAGCACCCCGGTTTCTGATGGAATCTTCTGTTTACACACTGCAGTGAAGTTATAGCACTGAGAAAACCTGCGGCTGATGTAGAATTACCAGTACTGGCTAGAAATATTTGGGTTCACCTCAACAAACAGGTCATGTTAGAAGCAGTTTCTTGGATTAAGGCTGGACTCTGTTCTACTTTCTCTTTCTCTCTTTCTCTCTTTCTCTTGTTGAGAGGCAGCGAACAGGGGTGGGTATACTTTTATATATATGGCCCCAGCTCTGTGTTTGGATATTGGGTTTCTCCAGAGGATGAGGAAGTTTTTTCCCTGGACCAATTAACGGGTCCTCATTGTTGGTTTTGCTTTGTACCACAAACAATAGTTCAGAATACTCAGCCATCTTGGAGTCCCTGAAAGGTGTTTGGGAAGAACGATCTACCTGATGTGAACCCAACTGATGTTCGGGTATTTGTAATCGTATCACAAGACCTGCAGCTCTACACCTTGTACACTCAGCAAGTGAAGCTTGGTTTTCACTTGCTACCTAGGGGTGAGATGGACCAGATGGTGGAGAAGGCCTGGCCCATTCAAACATACGAGTGTCGGCTGGGAGCATCTGGCAGAGGTCCCAGTCTGGAAGAGCTCCAAGCTTTAACAGCATTTTAAGGGAGTTTAGGGACACTGAATCCTGATGTACCATCTTCCAAATGTGGTATCTAACCCGGGCCGTTTTTCCATTCTCAAGTATGCAAGTCCATTCTTCATAAGTTCACATGGGAGTCCAGGCTTTCCGAGAATGCAGCACAATCATTCTACAATTGGAGCAGCGGTGTACTTCATGACATCAGGAGTTTTTACTGCCGCCCCCTCTGAACTGTGATTAATATTTGGAATGGAAATTACACATGATGTAGTTAAATCTTTTTTTTTTAAGTGACTTTGACAAAATTGGCTTTTCTGTATTGTCTGTTTCATAATGTCTAATAAACTTCATACAGTTAAACACAATCACTACATGACTGAAACACAAGCTTAATCCATCTTAATAAACATAGTACACATGTATGCCTGAAACAAACAGGTGAGACGTTAGAACGCTTTTATTTCTATTTTAGTAAACACTCAAACCTACAGCACACAGCTGCTGGGGTTTGGAAGAGAACTGAACAAATATTTCAAATATAATGTGATCATTGTTGGAGCACTTTTCAGGATCTCCACGTATTACCATGCTGTTTTTGTTCCCAGGGAAAATGTTTCCTCGTGAATTTTTAGTGTTAGATTAAATTCAGTTAGCTGTTTAAATAAGAACAGAACATTTAACATCAGGGGATATGACAGAAATATACTGACAGCTCTCCAAGTATGATGTCAATATTAACCCTGGAGAACCCATGGGGTCCAGATGAACACATTCAACTTTTGGGGATTAAAGGTAGAATGGGAGGCAGAGCCTTCAGTTTTCAGGCCCCTCTTCTGTGGAACCAGCTTCCAGTTTGGATTCAGGAGACAGACACTATCTCTACTTTAAGATTAGGCTTCAAACTTTCCTTTTTGCTAAAGCATATAGTTAGGGCTGGACCAGGTGACCCTGAATCCTCCCTTAGTTATGCTGCAATAGACGTAGGCTGCTGGGGGATTCCCATGATGCACTGGGTGTTTCTTCTTCACTCATATATTAACAGACCTCTCTGCACTGAATCATATCTGTTATTAACCTCTGTCTCTCTTCCACAGCATGTCTTTATCCTGTCTTCCTTCTCTCACCCCAACCAATCGCAGCAGATGGCCCCGCCCCTCCCTGAGCCTGGTTCTGCTGGAGGTTTCTTCCTGTTAAAAGGGAGTTTTTCCTTCCCACTGTCGCCAAAGTGCTTGCTCATAGGGGGTCATATGATTGTTGGGTTTCTCTCTGAATCTATTATTGTAGAGTGGGCCGTACAATATAAAGCGCATTGAGGCGACTGTTGTTCTTGTTATTTCAGGCTTTATAAATAGAACTGAATTGAAAATGATTTGCAGTCACTTAGAGGACCATGAACCCCTCTGTACCCCAAAGTATTCTGCAGTCTAAGGCGAGGTCATCTGTCCTACAGCTAACTTGGGACAGCAACAGGAAAAGTGATGGAAAATGGAGGGATGGATTTTTGTATTTAATATATAAAAACTGAATTTAAACTTTCAGATTTTAATGAGCGCATCTTGAACTAACCCTCAAATAAAATATAAGATTTGTGTCACACAAGGCAACTCAAGAGTCTGATGTGACTGTTCCTGAGTTTAAATCTGAAGGTTTTGCCATCAGCACTGAACTCTGGAACAACCTGCTCGAGGACAAAAGCCTTTCAGCATCAGCTGCTTGCTTTGAATCAGCTCTGCTCTCATATGTGGACATCTGCCCTGTTGTGACTCAAAAACCTAAATCAACCTCAGTGAGTGTCAGTCATATTCAGTAGAGTTTGTTTCTTCCCATTTTAGTTTGAGAAAATATTTTAATCAACAAACTTTACGTTTCGATGTTGGTTTTATGGGACTTTTTATTCCACTTAGCTTTGCTCTAAATCCTAAAGGCAGGATAAGAAGACCCGAGCTGTGGGGGAATATTTTAGAAGGCTTTTCCATGACTTTGGCAGAAAACAGCCTGATGTGGAGGAGAACTGATGAGGGCTGAGAAGTGAAGCTTAGACAGTTGGACTATTTCACAGTGTGAGGCTGGACGTGGGAGACGTTCATCTGCTCTCCAGCAGCCTGAAAGCGGACTGCAGACACAGGCTGTTACATCGTTCACACATCAGTATGTCAGATAAAGAAGAACCTCAGAGGGGAAGTGACGTGTGCGTCTCTGCTGCTGATCCAGAGTAACTTCTCCTTTATTCAGACTTCCTGTGACTGACGTTTGTCTCTAACATCCTGAAGCGTGCAGTACACACACAGAAGTCACTTTGACAAAGCTCGGCATCTTTAGAGAGCTTTGATGCTGATTCACTCACATCAGCAGGTCACTGCACTGGATGGAAAACACAGCATTAATGAACATGTCCTCCTGTAAAGGACACTTCAGTGTCTCCTCTGCTAAAGGAGGCAATAAAGGAAGCACTGAAGCTCCTTCCTTTAGTTTTTGAGAATTCAAATGGCTCCATCCGTGGCTGCAGAGACTTCAGGTCTATTCAGCTGTTATCTGGTTTTAGAGGGGCGGAGTCTTTATCAGCACATGTTATTAACCTGACCAGTGGGTGGAGCCCACAGGTTTTATGACTTGTTGTATCCTGAGGGGTGTGAGGTTAATGTGTCAGTGAGGCGTAGCCTTCACACATAAATGCTGTACACATACAGAGATTCATGCAACGCCTTTACTTTTGAGTTATATTTACATGTTCAAAATACAACTATCCAAAAGCACCATGGTAACGGATTCTGAACAGCTCACCTGGTCAGGAGCAGGCGATGTGCAGCGTGCTGGTGGGATAAACCCGCCTCCGTCTCAGAGAGAAGAAGATCCTGATTTCCTCATCTTGGTCATCAGCTGCTGGATCTGTGCTCCTCCCCTGTCCATTTACAGGAGTCAGATGACTACATAAGAGGAAGTGTGCGTCTTGGAGACATGAGCGCTCTCAGGTGACGATGTCTGTATTTGATCATCAAACCTGTTTGTTTCTCTAACTCCAGCTTCAGCCCACAACCTCAGAGCTCCTGCTCACCCTCACAGACCATGAAATGCCCCCGGATCCACCCAGGCAACAGTAAACCAGATGTTGACCCACAGGAAGTGAGGAAACAGGAAACATGGCGCTGATGTGACAAGAGAATCTTACAGAACCAGAGGTGCCGATTTCTGCTGAAACTTCATGGCTCTAAAGGCGGCGCCGTCACGTCTTGTTCTTCACTTTTCTGACGCCTTTCATGTTTCCACACTGCTGCACGCACCCACCCACCCCCACTCGGTCTGTACAAACACAACTCCAGCTTTCATCACAGGAGGGCATGAAGCCCGCTTACACAACCAGGCATCACAGGAAACAGAGCCAGTCATTACGAAACACATTAAGTCCCAACGACAGCTCACACAGCAAATACACTGAAACACTGAGGTGGTCATGTGACTGTTGCTATGCACACAGAACAGAATGAGGCGAGAGCAACATGTAAAATATTTTATTTTTCTGTAAATGATTCTAAATCAGAGTCACCATATTTCCCAAAAACAAACATCTTCATCGTCACGGTTACGTCCAGTAATAATAAAAAAGGCTTCGTGTCGTCTCTGTACACATCAGCAGTCTCCTATGTACACGGCAGCGGGACTCGGCGCCTGAAGGCCGCGGTGACGCCTGCCCGACTCGCTTCACAGTCCGTCCAATCGGGATGCGGTGCCGAGTCAGCAACACAAACTGTACTTGAAACGCTGCAGCTGATTGGCAGTGGTGAGGATGGTGGAGGGCTTCTTAAACTCTGTGTGCAATTCTCTCATCTATGGTACACGTATTTACACACCGCCACGCCGGACCTCGAACGCACCGCAGGTTTAGAAAATAGCTTCATTCAGTAATAAATACAAAAAAACTCTTATTTTACAGGAAATTAACAAATGGAGGTGGGCGGGGCAGGAGTGGGGTGGGCGGGGCCAGGGAATAAAGTCTCTATTTTTCTTGTTTTTGTGTTTTAGTGCAAGTTAAAGACAACACATTCTATGATCTCAAATTTACATCTGTGCTCATTTTTACACACAATATACACAGAGGACCAGCCTCTTTAAGCCCCGCCCACTCTCCAACACAGCTACGCCCTCAGAAACAAGCTTCTGACCCCACCCATGCGCATATATAACCCCCACCCTGACCTGTTATCCCCATCATCAATATTATTATCATTACTTGTGTTATCAAAGCAATCACTTTCATTATTATCACTGTGTTGATATGAAGTTAAGCTCCGCCCACAGGGGAGGCGATCGACAGAGAGCGAGCTGCCTGTGTGTGTGTGTGTGTGTGTGTGTTCAGTTCATCCATTTGCGGCAGTTGACGGCTCCGCAGTGACACGGGATCTTATGCTGATCGTCCTCCAGGTCGAACTTGTAGTCGTAGCACAGCTGGAGGGGGAGGGGCAGTAATCAGTAACCACACACGCTCTGAGATGCTGACTGATGGAGGGCGGGCCTTACCTCTTCTCCTCTCTGGATGCGTCTGCAGGAGCTGATGATGATCTTGTTCTCCTTCTCCACAGTCACCACCTCAGTGATACAGTTGGGAGCACATGAGTGGTTGATGTACCTGCCAATCACACACAGAGACGGGTCTTTGACAGGTCAACAGACCAATCAACACTATTAAAAATTCCTGCACCCTGCTGGGATCCTTCATCAGGTTTTCACTTTGAGCTCTCTGAGTTTATCAGAACTCGGCTGGTTCAGGTATTTATCAATGCAGAGCCACCTGAGCAGCCGCCCCCCCCCGAACACACCTGAACTTGGGGCAGCCAAATATCCCAGAATGCATTTAGTCTGAAACTCAAACGTGGGGATGTCGGAAGAGAGCGGATAAAAATTTGGGACCGTGACATAAATAAAGTTTTAATGAATGTTGATAAGTAAATTTCAAATATCTGCTCGACTTATCAGGACATCACATCTGTAAGAAGTGCTCTGCTCTTTCAGAGACGTCCATTACCTCACCAGCTGTCAGCTGACCGAGAGGTCAAGGGTCACTAGAGCCAGTGAGAACGCCTCACTTACGGCACAATAACACACGAGGTATACACGTCACCAAGATAACATGTTAACTGGTTTATTCCCGATCGGCTCATCGCATGTGACTTTCTTACATCCCGTGTGATTTCCACTGCAAACATGAATCAGTTAAATTCAGAGGGGCAGTAAAAACACTGGAGCTGAGCTGTGATGTCATCACGTCACGCCTCAGCGGTTTGTGTCCTGGAGCGAGGACACTTTCAGGTGTGTTTTCCCAACACCATGAGCACTCAGAGCGAGGGCGGAGCTGCGACCCTTCCACAGCCCCGCCCTCACCTGTGAGCACCAGATGAAAGGAAAGTTTCCTCTGAGGAGTGTGAGCGCTCCACGACAGGTGAGGAGCTCAAATTGAGCTGCTGCTCACCCACAGCTTTAAACACCAGAACACCTGATGCGTCCCAGGAGAGGTGTTTCAAGTCCAACTGGGCAGAGACCCCAGGTGGACACACACACACCTCTTTACAATAGCCTCCTACTACATCTGAACATCAGGACTGTTTGATCACCTCCTTGCTGAAACAGCAGGGGGCGCTCACCTGAGCGTCTGTACAGGAAGGGCTCATTGGGTCAGGTGTGTGCAGGTCTGAGATCAGCACTGAACCGGTCTGAGCTGGACTCACCTGGCGGGTCCCCCGGTGATGGTGGCGTCGATCACGTAGTCGTTGTCGATCCGGAACATGTACACGCCGCGATTCTGCACACAGACACACAACACGAGTGAAAGACATGACCCTCTGGAGGTGAGACGTGCAGGCCCCACCCCCTTCACACAGATGTCACTGACTGTTTATGTTTGTGTGACATGTGAACGAACCAATCAGACGACAGCTTTCAGTCGACGTGACTCCGATCTGAACATCAGAAGTCGCAGACCTGTGTGTTACCTGTGATTCGTACAGCCTCTCCTTGCGATTGGCTACTTCACTCCTGATGATGGTCCCGATGTATTCGATGACCATGGTGCACTTCTCGATGTCTCTGGCGGCGTACAGTCCGAGACCCTGCGAGCACACACACAAACACAGTCAGCTTCCTGTCCTGCGTTGGCGGTCAAGTGTTCGGGCTGTGCTGCAGGTGACCCACCTGGATGCGGGAGCGTGCCAGGTACACATTGCTCTTCCACTCAGCCTTCATGCGGCGGTACTGCGAGGACTTGGAGTGGCGTCCCTGGTGAGCGCCGGCCACGGACTCGCCCGGAGACAGAGAGATGACGCCGGGGACGAGGCCCACGATGGAGCCCACCGAGCCCTGACACCTGGGGGCGATGCTGGCCAGCAGGTAGGGTCTGAGGGGGGAGAGGAGGGCGTCAGGCAGCTGTGGGTGCGCTTTACAGAAACCTGTGACGGAGGCCTGAGCAGATCTCTGTCCCAGCCACACTGATGATGTCACAACACAATGCAGAGCAGCTACACTTTGCCCCACCCGCCCGCCACTTCCATCAGCAGCTTGACACAAAGTGACATCATTGCTTCAGAGCACGTACCTTTTGGCCTGACAGGCTTTGGGTTCGGAACGGGCGGAGCCTGACGGGTTGAAGGCCAGAGGCCACTCCATGAGGGGGTTCCTGCCGTAACGAAAGGTGTAACGCTCACAGGCCTCCACGCCAGGTAACTGAAACACACAGAGAACAGGTGAGTCTGGGTCCCTGTTTGAAGGTGTGTGTGTGTGTGTGTGTGTGTGTGTGTGTGTGTGTGTGTGTGTGTGTGTGTGTGTGTGTGCTGGACGTACAGACTCTATGATTCGGGTCACCGCAGACGTGGTCAGACCAAACAGATCTTCTCCTTTCAGGTAAACTGGGAACAGCTTCAGAGTCCCGCTGGAGGTCCTCATCTGGGAGACGGGATCCAGGATCTGATCCCACACAGCTGCACGCAC